AAATGCACTCCCTGTATAAATGCACACTTTTGTTTAGTCCCGAGGGGGGTGCATTTATAGAGAGTTGACTGTATATAAAGTTAAAGTGAATATATTATTATTCTTGATCTTTTTAATATATTTGATTACTGAGAAAATTATGATCATTAATATATATCTTATTAGCATAACTTTATTTTTATGATTTTATAAATTTTTTCTGATTTTTGTCACATGTTACACATATCTTACCTAATATCATCACAAAAATTCCATCCCTACGTGATCATAAAAATATTTATCATCCCGTCATACTTTCCGCGTTTTCCATTTCATAGGAAACTTAGAATTTTTTCGGGATGCGAAATCATATTTGTCACCTATTATTCGTCACATGGTTAATTTCTTAATGCCGTAATGCCGGCCAAACGTCACGTGGGATGGAATTTTTTGTAGTGATAGTAAAAAATATTCTTGATGTTTATTATGATGCATTAAGAAATAAATTTCTTAAATATGAGGCGGTAAGAGTGAATCGGGCATCTATATTACTTATTTTATAACTCAATTGCTAATCCCACAAATATATGCTGTAGTTTTTAAATTACTTAATCTTGAAGTTTTCTTGCGGAATTTAATACTTTATACAATAACGATAGAAAAAAAAAACAATTAGTATAGAAATTTATAAGAAACCTGAGAGAGCAAAGAAATAACTTGATACTGGGACTCGCATTAAATGGCCTAGGATCCGCGTACTCCCTCCCTCTTTGATAGCATCATGCATTTCATTCGCTTCTCTAGCATTTTCTGATTCGCTATATATATGAAAAATCATTAATAAATTTTTACCACAATTTTTTTTTGAATTTTAAAATATACTAATTTTAACAGTCAAGACAATGTGTAGTATAATAAAACCTTAATCAACTATCCCTTTAACTTAGGGATTTTTAATACTTGTCGGACTGTCAATTTCTTAGAACGAATTACTTTTTTATTGATCTCTTCTATTGCTTTGTTATTTCATCCTATGAAAAAAATTAACGTCATATAACTTTCTTGCGAAAAATAAAAGTATGATCATAAAGAACCTGAACTAAACTCACGTGGAATATACACATCATTCTAAGGATCGATTTATACTGACCCCGCCCACTTAAGCTAAAAGGCAAGACGGCGGAAGCAAGTTCACATGATAGAAAGCGACCATTTGGAAGCAGGTTTAATGAGTATAGTGTCAATCGGGTATCTGAAAAAATGGGAACAGGTTACGTTGCAATGGCTAATAAAAACATAGATCATGCATAAATTACTTACGGATCGATTGTGTGCTGAACACCTTGATCTTGGTTGCAAGGTCAATGTCACAGTCAAGGTGTTCCCGCAATATCGAAATTAGATTTAAAATATCGGTCTGGAAAGTTTTTTTCGAGTCGCCTAAAACATGTTTATAAGTAGCATTACAGGGAGGACCTGCGACTTCTAGATGTCAAATGTCCAGCCCATCGGAGTTCCTAGTCGCCTTTGCATCCACCAAAACGATACCCGAGTTTGATTCCGACTTTAATATTTTTGCGGAACGAGAGTGAGATTCTATCCAATCGATATCTAAGGTTAAAAACGTTCTTTCGTAAAATTTAAATAGTGCTGATACTTGGTAAACTATATGCTTTCGCTCGCCTATTTTTCTATTCATAGTGGGACTAACGTCTACGAGGTTGTAACTAAAGAAAAAATAATTATCAGCAATTTCTTTGATGAACAAATAGCTATTAATTTCTACCTACAAATCGGAGAGAATTTTCTCACAATATAGGCGAAAAGACTCATCTATATCTCTAATATCCTTGTTTCGAACCACGTCTTTAAACTTGTCCCCAGATTCCTTGAGAGTGGTATCTATATACTCCTCTAAGGCAGGATTCCATATAGCAGGATTTTTGTCACGCATAGAAGACAACTCTTTGGCGAGTTCTATGCCAATTTCCGCTTCCAATTCTTTAGTTGTCAACGCAAATGCACATATAACGAAATTGCTTTGAGTGTAGCTATTACACAGAGGAACAAAATACTATCAGAATAACCTCTATTTTCCAAGTAATACAACAAGCAGAAACTTACTGCCAGAGTTCTTCCTTCTCTATTGGCCGCTTGTTAGGTGTGTTCAATAAATGTGTTAATTCCCGGAGAGATTGTGTCGGAGTTTTAGGCGGTAAAGTATCTGAAGCGTCTGAAGGCTGGAAAGTATTTGAAAATGGTAACGGAATGTTCTTTTTTGGCAAGAAAGATAAAGAGATCGATGACGTTTCTGATGGAAAAACCGATGGTGATAATTCCGTTTCTGATGGAACAGGTTGTAAAAAAGCTTTAAAGCCTCTTGTTTGAGCGGTGATATCGACCGATTTCTGCAAAAGATGCATAAGCATATTAGCATCTCGTAATCTCATTAGTTACGATGACATGTTAACGTACCTTAAACACCGAATTCAATTGAAATTTTTTCTCGAGATTTATCTTAGCAGCAAAGACTTCTCTGCATGTACTCACAAGGGTTATACCTGTTCGTAACTATGATAATAGATGTTATGAGGCAACTTTAAAGTTCGATCTAGTATCGATAAGTGACAGGTACCTGGAGCCATTTTAGGTAGTTGGTTCACATCGACCGTATACTTAATGGAACGGTGTGTAGCTGGTTCATTTGATCTAAGCTATCCACAAAGGTGCTTAGCAGTTGGTCGAAGCTAACGTCAAGATTGGGATCCGCAAGAAAATTATCAATGTAAAGCTCAAAAGACCATTTCGAAGCCGGTTGGCTCTTAAAGAAGTCTTCAACGTCACGCGCTCTCTGTTCACACTTAAATTTAGAATACTTTCCTGTTACTCATGGACATAGTTAAAAGTTGAAATAACAATTTTTATTCCCTAACATATTTAAAAGAGATTTCGAACGCGTGTAGATCCAATCAAATTGCTAGAATCTTGTGTCACTGTCGAACCGTGTACCGTAGTAATGATTTAAAACGTCTGTTTTATGATAGTTTTATGCTTCTAAATCTTTCGTCTTGGCCCATACGTCCCGCGCCTGTCATATAGACGGCGGTCGTACTGGAAGTGCAAAGGGAGACAATCATCTGTCATGTAGGCGATGACCTCCTTGTTGCAATCGCCTGCCGGCTGATTTAGCATATAGTTGATCAGTCGACAGAGGTGCACATTAGAATGACCTTACCTGCCATATAGGCGATAAACATTCTGTGTGCAAAGGTTGGCCATATTTCCTGTCTGCCATGTAGACGGCAGGAATGTGGAATCTTTTCTTTGTTTCATGCTTATTTACTTGCTGATTACTTGTAACCACAATACAAGAATCTGTTAACCTTCCCTATCGTTTTTCTTCCAATAAGTTCCAGGTTAATTAAAGTTAAGCTTTTTTTTGAAATGTGAATTGTGGTATTGTGGACCGTGTATTTCAGTTTCACTTTAATGAAGTCTTGGATTCGGGTAAATCAGTGCGAGTGGTCGTACAATTGACTGTATTGGTTCGTATATAAATCACGAGATAGTCACTACTTAAAGTACAAGACGAGAAAAAAATATATTATAATTATATAAAATGACTTTATTCGCGATCAATCTTCCGTATTTTTTTGTTTCTTCATTAAACGATAATATGAATCTGAGTTTTTTTTTTAATTATCACTTACAAAATATCTACATCTCAACCCTAACTAATTTAAAATTTTTTTCACAAATATTCATCCAATTCGTAAATAGATTCCAACAGCTTAAAAAAATTATTCTAAACATTACATATTTAATGTCCACAATTTAATAATATAATCGTCCAATTGGCGAAACCTGTTCCACCATCTTTTATAAAAATAATTACAACTACATATTGTTGATTTAAATTAAAATGAACCAGAGTTGACCTATTTTTTTTTTAAAAAATATATATACAGTTTATAAATGTTAATACGCTAATAATTAATGAGTATAAATTAACCCCCAAAAATAGATTTACCTTATCTTTCAAATGAGCTAACCATTGGTGATAGCTCATAACAGTGTCTGTGCGGTCTTCAATAATATGTGATAAAAACCACAACCGTAATGATGGATCACCATCTTCCTTAACTATATAAAGGTGAGGATAATAAACACCACGTCGCATCTCCCTAGTTTTACCAACTATTGCATTCACCCGTTGTGAAAATACATTATCAAGCTGTGGTAGAGTAACCTTCATTAAATTCAAAACAAAAGAGTTAATATGCAACGTCAGTTTATAACTGTCGTGAATATTTGTAAATTATATACCTTTCCAGCACGAATTTCTTCATATGAACGAACATCTAATAAATCCATACATAATTGAGGCGACACTTGTCTGCCAATCCAAATGAAAATATTTTGACTATCCTCTAATAAATATGCACCATGCCGTTCTAATTTTTCACTACTAAGATTAAGCGGCTTAGGCATTATTATACCCTCAGTTCCATACGTTCCAGACTTAACAAAAAAATCGAGGTTATTGGATCATTCGTTCTATATTAATAGAAAACTTTAAATATAAAAATACCACTTACTTCTTGTGACAAATTATGCAGTGAATAAAATCGTGGATGTAAATAAGGAATTAATAGCTGAGAGGGCATTGTTGTCAATAAACACATCGCGTATGAACGCAAATCTGTTGGAATTTGCGAACTTGCACGGAGACCAACCTATCAAATTAATTAATTCCTTTCTTTTAATTGTTACTATAATTATTTCATGCATATGTTCAAATACATACATGTTTAAGCAGTCCAAGTGATAGCAAGGGTAATAATTTAAGATTATTACAAATTTGTAATTGAGGTGAAGCTCCAGATTGGGAACTTGTGAGGGCCGACTTGTATACACCAAGAATATCAATCATCTTGTTAGTTAATGCGTCTCGAGCATCCTCCAGTTTTGAGGATAACGATCGTTCAACCGCTAATTGAAAACAATAATTAATATTAATATTATTTTCCAAATAAAAATTTTAAATATTCTTTCACACCTTTATTTGCTAATAGTGTAGTTATCGCAACTTGATCAGCAGAAGCAAACAGTTCACTAATACTATTGGTTACCGGTAACGCAAGCGTAAGTACCCGAATTCGACGTTCACCTATTAATTTGAAATTGTTAATTATATATCTGGAAAAAAAAATTCACTTCATGCAAAATACCGAAATAATTTACAAACCAAAACAAGTTGTGTGTAAAAGAGCAGTTTGGAAGCATACTGTTTGAGTTGTAATATTTTCTTCAATATCCACTTCAATTGTATACGAGTGATCCCTTGAGACATTAGGTAAAGCCAGAAGATCCGTTTGACGAACGAAAAAATTTCCATGAAAAGCAGTCATACGTATACCTATATAAATAGGAAATAACAATCGTAAAAAGGTGAATAAAAAGAGGAAATTTCACTCATTAATTACCTTTCGAAGCTCGTACTCTCATAACTGCTTCTAGTGCAATAGGGCTCGCCAAAAATTCGGCAAATTCATGTGCGAATTTAAGTGCATCTTCTGATCTTCCTGCATTGAATGCTGGATAAAAATATGTTTGTCCTCCCGTGTATCGCGGACAACAACCTTGATTTTATAAGGATTATTTATATATTTAAATATATTCATATAAAATGAAGAAGTTTTTTAAATGGAATAAAGAGAAAGATACCTAGTGTAGCTACATCTGAGTATTGCGAACCAAGTAAAAACATATCCACACAAACTTGAGAACGGGAACAGTCAACTGCAAATTTTTTATAAAAAGGATCCGCAGATTGTAATAAAGAAGACTCCTATTAATAATAAATGCTAAATTAAGTATTAATATTTCAACAAAAGAATCACAATTAATCAAATATTTACTTTAGGAGTACCCAAAACCTTAGGATCATCACGCGTCTTTAGAGATCCAGGATTAATATTTGGTAAACTTGATTGTAATACTACAATCTTTCCCCCAATTGGAGACTAAGTTTAATAATAAGATAAAAATTATAATGATGAGATATTTTGGAAGAAAAAATCAAGAACAAATAAAAAAAAAAAATAGAAATATTAATACAAACAATTAATTTGAAGCCAGCCAAAAGAGCAGAACCCAAAGCATTGCCAATAGTTTGAGTATCTTTGAACATATCGCCAAGACTTCCAAGTAAAGATTCAACAACTGCCCGAGCTTCCGTCAAATTTACCAATAAATCATCAGGTTGTGGAAGAAATACATCTTCAATATCGGACACAACAAGCATTTGTGGCACCGATGAATTAGACTGTAAGATCAATTTGTTAATTGATTAATTATCCATCACATTATATAATAAATTACATGAAATGAACTTCAACAAACATTAAGGCTATAAAAATGTAGCGAAGTGTCCACTGTAATGAAACCAATTTTTGTACGGTTTTCTTCATTAGGTAATCGATCTAACGATTCCAGGATGGTTCTAGCGGCCGTTGCAACAACACCTTTTTTTTTTCGGGAAAAAAATAAATTAATGTATAAATAGATAAATAAATTATAATTAAGTTTCTATCTAAAGTTATACGTGGAAAGTATTTATTGGGTTTCTTCATAACTTTATTTGGGTTCAAATAGATAGTCCGTGTAAATAAATTTATAGATTAAATACGTAACCCTCAATTCCAACACACACAAATGATAAATGTTGGAGGAAGAGTTTTGAAAATAAATTATGAAATTCCCGACCCTACCTCCCGTTAAGAATTAAAATTAATTAAATCAACTAAATCAAACTAAATTCGTATAATTACAACCCCATCCAAATAAATTTCTGAACATGTTAAGAAATCTCCAAAAAATTAACCCAAATAAATACGTAAATAAATTGACACTTACCGGATTGTACTGCAGGATATGAAACATCTATAACAAATAAATATACTGGAGGTTGAGGTGGACGTACCTTAAAAATTATGTTATTAAGGTCGTTATCCTCATAAAAAATATATAACATTAATATATTTATATTAAATAAATTTGTTAGAACATACCATGTACTCTGTCGGCGCCACAAATTCGACAACAGCATGATTTAATTCAGCACGTTTCCATCTGTCAGCCTGTTTATTTGTCTGTATGTCCCAATCAAATTGTGGTGGAACTTGTATCGTAACAATGATTACATATAATTTAATAATTGGTATGAACAAACTAAATTGAATAAACCGTACAATGATACTTACCTTCATTTAACAGAAAACACATGTTACATTTCCATTTTTGTCCGCCTTCTACAAAGGTTACGAACGGATTAATATAAGTCCTACATCTACGACATCTTGCTATGACAGTATCCGTGACAACCGGAACCAAATCCTATAAAATGGAATATAAAAATATATTTTAGATTAAAAATTATCTTAAATTAAATAGCTAAACTTAATCACTTACGTCGCCCTCTTTCAAACTTCTATATGGAGTAATAACCAAACCAAGGGGAAGACGAGATTTAGAAAGAAGCGAAGATGTGGCAGGAATGGCATTGAGAGTTGATCGTTTGTAGGATGGATCACAATTCGCTTTGTCCGAAGGAGTTACAGACGTCTTAAATCAGAAAAAGGTGGTGAACATAATGTTCAACACCACCTGTTGCTATATCGGCTTTGAGGGAAATCAATATTTGTGTGTATAATAATAATGACTTACATTAAGTGGCAAATTAATTGTAGGTGGTGGAGCATCAAGATCCATAATATTTGGTGGTAAACCAATAAGATGAATTGGAATTAATTGTGACTTTTTTTTTTTAAAAAAAAAAAAAAAGAATAAAAAAAGGGGGAAAAAGCAAGATTAAAACAAAGCGAATCGATAAATTTCACGAAAGTTAAGCAAACGTACCTGAGAATTTCCTCCAAGACCCATATTGCTGAACTGATTCGTCATCCCAGCCATTGATGACGGTTGTTGTGACTGCGAAAATTGTTGGCCATATGGTGTAGGTACGGACGCCATTGATGCATAATTTTGATCTCCTGCGGGGGTAAAGAATTGAGGTGGTTGTTGTTGAATTGAAGGTTGTACTTGTTGCGGACCAGTTATCCCAGCAGTAACTGCTGGTGTAAATGTAGGATACTGCTCATGTGTGGTTTCCGTATAAGCTTCATTGATTTGCTTAGGATATAAACGCTTCGCTTTATGTGCCCCAATCGGAGGCGAGGTTCCAGTTGGTGATACTGGATTCTCGACTGGAGGTGGAGAATTCGACTGCATTATTTGATAATTGGGATTTGTCTGCTGAACCGGATAAGGTGGACGTCCTTGTTGTATTTGTCCTTGTTGTAGTTGTCCAGGCCTGTAACTTGGTGATACTGACGGCCTTATCCCTGGTGGAAGACCAGCCGAGGGAGCGCCAGAATGGGGAATATTACTTGAAAGAGGCGATGGACGAAAACCAGAAGGTAATGGTGGCGAAGGACTAACCCCTGGTGGAGTCGGTCGCGTTTGAGGGTTAAGTGGACCGGGAGGTGTATAAGGTCGCCCGAAAGGTGATAATGGTTGGGTACTGTAACGAGGATCTGTAACAGGTCGTTGATTTGGGGAAACCCCACCAGGACCGGGAGGTTGTGGACGATAAGGAGAAGGCCCTCTCTGTACCGGTTGATTGGGATCAGTATTCTGCATTGGACGAAAATTTGGGGACGGAGGACGGTTATAAGGAGTTTGTTGGGTTGGTAGATTAGCCATTTGGTTTATTTTTATTATTATTTTTTTTTTTTTAGATTCTACAACATGTGCAAGCAAAAATATTTTGGTTCATTTAACTTTGGGCAATGCTAGCAGGTTAAAATCTGTTTCTAGGTATAATTGATAATTTTTTTTTCAATAATCCCACCTATCATAATTGTACAAGTGGCATCTACACCAAAATAAAACGTGTTTGTCAACTAAAAAATTATGGTGTTACAGATCTTATTTAAAGTTTATTTTTTATTTTTTTTTTTTTCGGTTATCATTCTTTTACTTGTAATTTGAAAATTTTGAAAGAAAGGTAATAAAAAAAAAATAAAAAAAAAAAAAAATGAGGAAATAAAATAATAATGAACCGATGAACCGGTAAAATCAAAACTCTATATTAGCAACACATAAAGTACAATATTAGAGTGTAAATAATTAATCAATATAATGTAGTATGAAATTTTTTTTATGGGTTTTATATTTATATATTTCTCTTAATAATTATGATTTCTGTGCATCGAAATCTAAAACTTCCATAACAGTTTTTCCTTCTCTTTGTAATAGAACAACAGCTTTTGTTTCTTGAAATGCCAATCGCCAAACAGCATTCCCTGCAGTTGTCATTTCTCTAATAAAGTCACCAGTTTCAAGATCCCATAATTTGACATGTCCATCATTACCACCTGAAACAATCCGTTTTTTGTCAAATTGTAAACATGTAACTGAATTATCGTGAGCTGCAATATGCTTAACACAACGGTTTGTATCTAGATCCCAAATTCGAATCGCTCCATCACTACCTCCGGTGACAAGTATCGATTCATAAAGTTGTAATTGTCCAACAAGTGATGTATGTCCTTGTAAAACTCCTAGACAAAAACCTGTTTGACGTGACCAGACACGTGCAGTAGAATCAAGAGAGCTATCAAAAAAAAAAAAAAAAAATTAATATTTAGATTTAAATTGAAAGAATTTACTATATTTATGTATATACAAACCCAGTGACGATCTTTTCTCCATCAAAAGCTATGGAGTAAATCTGTGAATAGTGTCCTTGAAGGACATGTAAACATTCACCGGTTACGATATCCCAAACCTACATATACATAAAATCAATTAGAAAATTTTTTGATGTCTTAAGAAAATGTCTAAGAAAAAATATCATATTTACACGAGCCGTGCAGTCGTAACTTCCAGAAACAATGATATCTCCGCATATTTCCATGCATCGCACACTCGCTTGATGTCCAGCAAGCGAGTGAAGCAATCGACCTTCTTTGATATTCCACACACGTAGGGTTGCATCACGAGAACCGCTAACAGCAATCGTCTTGTCTTTCATTTTTAGTGAGCGCACGGTTGATGTATGGCCTTGAAGAATATGTTTGCATTCAGCTGTATCGATATCCCAAACTCGTACTTCTCTATAAAGGGAAAAATTTTTTATTAGATATTACGAAATAATATAATTTTTAAATTATTATTTCTTACCTGTCACACCCTCCAGAGACTAACACTTCATCAATATATTGCAACGCCCATACACCTCCTTCATGACCTGATAAAGTCTTTATGTATTTTCCATCAGATACGTCAAATACGTGAATTTTTTTATTATCCATTCCCACAATTATATAATTCTGACACATTTGTAATGATGTAACAACTCCAATATCAGGACTTATATGAGTAATTAGAGTTCTCCCCCCATGTTTCCAATTAGTTTCAACAATATATCGCCTTCGAAAATGATCTTTGTACGAAAATTTGTTGCTTCCAGAAGAGGGAGTTTCACTTGTTGGGGAGGGTGGTAACTCAGGTGCGGCTGAACTTCGTCTCCTAAAATGATGGCGTACACAGAGATTTTTCCAAGTGAACTCATCATTTAACAAAGACCGCCAGAATTTAGAAACACTTGATGCTCTAGAAAGAGTTTTTGGATCATTTATAAATGATAAAATATGTAGGCTAAGTTCTATTGGAAGGTCCTTAAGAAAGTCACGTTTCAAACGTGGTGATATATAATTAGACACGAAAACAAGTTGTTCAGTGTTGCAGGTGTTTAAAAGTTCAGCAAGGAGACGTTGTCTCTGTAAATTGTCCATATTTTGAAACCCCATTCTGACTGTTCGACTAAACTCTTCTTGAGCTGAAGGTGGAAATCCTTCGGAATTTACAGGCGGAAAGAGTTGTGGTGAAGGAGCGGGTGTAGGTAAGCTGTGAAAGTTTGTCGTAGTGACCCAAGGTATTTCAGGAGGAGTAGGGCGTTGCATTATGGGTAGGGTTTGTTTTTCCTGACAAGTACTTGGTCCTAGCGAATTATCTTTCCCTTTAGGCATCAGTTTGCGTTATTTTTTACAGTATGATCTTTAGTAACGACTATAAAATGCAAATTTAAGATGAAATTCAGTTCAGGAAAGTTAAGCTTTGAGACAGAAGTGGGAGTTACAGAGGAAGAATAAGTAAAAAAAGCTGCAGTTAAACAAAATAGTCTCCTTATTAGTTTTCTTTATATAAATAAACATACATTAAAGAACACGGTTTTATTAATGAACGAATGATTTTTTTCGTAACATACAATTATGGGAAATTACTGCGGCATTTGGAAATTTCACGTGATTAATCCGTTATTATTGTAACCTTAAAGTCTGTAACAAAGGACTTTTTTTTTTTTTTTTTTACAAGGACGCATTGATTCTTTTTCATTTCTTTTTTGGGGGGTATTTTTAAAACTTACTTTCAAATTTTAATAAATTTTTGTGCATAACTTAAGGTGATTTCCAATTGGTATTTTTGAATGTTACTTTGTTTGCTTTAAAAAAAAAAAAAAGGCTCGAAAAATTAAAACTCCCGCAATTCAAAACCCTGTTTATATCTGATATGGAAAGAATAAATTATATACTTAATATTGTCTGCCACAAGTAGTACAGGGATTTAAATTATATAAGGCGATATCTGAATTTTGCCACCCCATAATCGAATATTATTGGTTAATAGATTCTGTTTGTAATTTAATTTTTATTATTAAGTGCGCGCGTTAAAATTTTGATTGTTCAAAACTTTTTATTGAATCAGTTTACTATCAATGACTTTTTTTTAACAAAAAGCTTTATTGAATATAATTCTCTGAAATGATAAATTTTTATTGAATTGCATTTTTTATAAATGTATGTATTATATAAATTCTCTTAAATACTTCGTTTTAAACTTCAATTAGTTTACTTTTTATAAATGTACACCCTTTAAATACATTTTTTTTAAATGGATTGTATTTCAAAGGTTATATGCATTAGAAAGGAGAAGGACACTCCAAAATAAAATTTTGAATTAATATTAAATCTGAACTTATTTTACTATATTTAATTTATAAAGTAAAAATTTTTTTTTGATAGTTTTCTTCCTTTCTACTGAAAACGCATATATATATATATATTGAATTAAAAGTATTATTATCATCAAAAAATATATATATCATAGTTAGAATTTAAAAATTTGTATACATCTTATCAAAATGTAAGATAAAAATAAATTTACTAATAAAAACACAATATTATTTTAAAATAACCTCTATAATAAATTATGTATAATTAATTTAAGACCGAATAGATAAATATTCTCAAATGATTTAAATAATTTTAAAAATTTTTATAAGATCTGTTTTAAAGCTTATATAAAGATTTAATTAGAATTAATATATTAGTAAATCTTTTTTTTTTATCATTTAAATAATATAGAAGATATTATATTTATTACAAAAAATATACTTATAAGACAATATGATTATATAATAAGTGACTAAAAATTAACTATATAGGATATATATAATAAAATCATAAAAATTATCATATTTTATAATTTAATTTTATAAATAATTTTTATATAAATAAAATTATAAATATATAAAATTTTTTATTTATAAAAAGATACAATATATATACATTTTTCTTAAAAAAGCATCTATTCAAGTTTTCTTAAAATTTTCAAAATTAGATATATTAACTAAAATTTTTAAAATAAACTCTCTAATTTTAATAATAACATTATATTTGTATATTTGTATATAAATACATATATTATAAAGTTTCAAATCAGGTCAGGTTAACCTGTTTACCTGATCTGACTTGATCTAAAAATCCAGGTCAAATCAATAAATTTTCAGAATAATATCAGGTCAGATCAACAGGTAAACCTAACCTAATCTGATAAAATTCAGGTTAACCAATCATTCTTGAATGATAATTTTATCATTCTTAAACAATAGTTTATTATTCTTTAATGATATTTTTATCATTCTTGAATGATAGTTTTATTGTTTAATTAAAATGATTTGTTATCATTTTTAAATGATGATTTTATTATTCTTAAATAATAGTTTTATCATTTGTAAATAATATTTTATTGTTCAATTAAAATAATTCATTATCATTTTTAAATGATAGTTATATTATCTTTAAATAATAACTTTATCATTCAATTAGAACAATTCGTTATTATTTTTGAATGATATTTTATCATTCTTAAATAATGCTTTATCATTTAAGAATAATTCATTATCATTCAAGCATAATAGTTTTATCATTCAAGAATAATGCTTTTATCATTTTTGAACAATATTTTATCATTCAAAAATGATTCATTATCATTCTTAAATGATGTTTTATCACTCTAGAATGATAGTTTTATTATTCTTAAATGATATTTTATTATCTTAAAATAATAGTTTTATCATTCAAAAATGATGTTTTTATCATTTAAGAATAATGTTTTATAATTATTTTTTCTTTCAAAAATAATATATTTATCATTCTTAAATAATGTTTTATTATTTTTTTTTTAAAATAATTTATTATTATTCAATTAAAATAATTAAGTTAATTAAATGAATTAATTAATTATTATATTATTATTTATATTAATATTTTTTAATATTATTTAAAAAGTAAATAAGAAAAAATTTTCTTTTTAGATCAGGTTAGGTCAAATCAATAAAAATTTAAAATTAAGTCAGA